AGCCCGCCCCCATCGCAGGCGTCGACATGAGCGACGAGAGCGACAGCGAGGGCTCCGTCGGCCCGCTCGACGACTTCCAGGACAAGACGCACAGCCCGCTCTTTGGCAACCTCGCTGCCACCCCCACCGACGGCGTCGCCGCGCGCGAGATCAAGCGCCCCACCTCTAGCCTTCAGGGCATTGTCGAGGACGACGCCAAGATCCAGCCGGCCTCTCAGCCAGCCGCTCCCCTCGAAGCCGCTCCCGCATCCACCACCATTAGCACTGCAGACACGCCCGCCGCACCGGCTCCGCTCACTTCGGACGACTTTACCTCGGCCGTCACTCCTGACGCTCCCACCACCGCCGACACGGCCGACGAGCCAGCTTCCTCCCACATCCCCGCCATCGCCGCCGGAACCGGTGCTATCGCTGTCGGTGGCGCAGCTGCCACGTTGGCTTCCGAAGCTGCGCCACCTGCTGCTGACGACTCGACGCGCTCCGTCGCAGGAGACAGCACCCGCACCGGCACAGAGGCCGGCACGGGCGCCACGGGCACCGCAACCGCCGCCACCTCGGTCGCAGCCACGCCCAACGACGACGCCATCCCCGCAGCGCCGACTGCCAAGCCGCCCCTCGCGGCCTCGGCCAACCTGACGGGCGATCCGACCGAATGGGGCGTCGACCAGGTGGTCGAGTGGGCACGCTCCAAGGGCTGGGACGAGACGGCGGTGGTGAGCAAGTTCCGCCACCACGAGATCTCGGGCGACGTGCTGCTCGAGATGGACATCAACATCCTCAAAGAGATCGACATTGTGGCGTTCGGCAAGCGCTTCCAGGTGGCCAACGGCATCAAGGAGCTGCGTGCCCAGGTGCCGGGGGCCGTGACGACGCCGGGGGCCCCGCAGCCTGGGCAGAACGACGGTCTGGGCAGTCCGGCGATCATCGCTCCCGCGGGTGCGGGCAGTGCGTCGGGTACGCCGTCCTACTCGCCCTACAACCCCGGCTCGCACAGCGGCAGCAACGCCGACGGACGCAGCCTGAGCGCACGCATGGCCGAGACGAGCCTCGACCAGAGCTACGGCCCGGGTTCGAGTCGGCCGGGCAGCTTTGGCGGCGAGCGCGACTCGTTTGGGCCCGCGCAGGCGGCGTACGGGGGCGCGGCGGGCGTTGCGGCGTGGCAGGCGCAGCAGGCGGGACAGGGCCATGGCGCGCGGGTGCCGAGTGGCGACGTACCGCTCTCGCCCACCGCCGCGTCGCAGTTCGGCGTGAGCTCGCGCTATGCGCCATCGAGCGGCACGTACGACGACAAGCTCGGCGCGCTGCCGTCGTCGCCGCGCAAGCGCGAGTCGACCGGCTCGGCGGGTGCGTCCGAGAAGAATAACCGCTCGAGCTTCTTTGGTCTCGGACAGAGGAATCGCAAGCCGCCGCCGGCGGGTGTGGCGGCTGGCGCGCCCGCGTCCAACGCCGGCGACGATGAGCGCAGCAACAAAGGCACACTGTCGCGTCTGGGCTTTGCGCGCAGCTCGAGGAACATCAGCTCGCAGTCGTCGCAGTCCAACTTCAAGGAC